ATGCATGCCTGTAATCCCAGTTACTCAGGAGGCTGAGGCAGGAGGACCACAGGTTCGAGGCCAGCCTGGACAACTTAGTGAACCTGTCTCAAAATCAAAATAATGAAAGGGCTGGGGCATAAAGAAGAATGAAATTATGTCATTTGCAGGAAAATGGATGGAACTTGAGTGAGTAAGCCGAACTCAGAAAGCCAAGGGCACAGGTTTGGTTTGGTTTTCTCATTTGTGGAAGCTAGAGAAGAAAAAGAAAAGAAAAATTTTTAAAAAGGTGTGTGGGGGAGATCTCATGAAAACAGAGAAGGGAGACAAAGTAGGGGAAAGGAACTAGGGGAGGGAGGAGGGGGAGGAAAGGGGAAATACTGGGGAATGCTATTGACCGTATTATATTGTTATATCATGTGCATGTACGAATATGTAACAGTGAACCTCACTATTATGTAAAATTATAATGTACCTATGAAAATATGGAAATAAAAGGGGACAGGGAATATAGCTCATGTAGCGTGCATGAGGCCTTGGTTCTATACCCATTGCCACAGAGAGAGAGAGAGAGAGAGGAAGAGAGAAAGAAAGAGAGTCCTCGGTTATGGCTGGCCACATGGACACTTCCTCTCACCTTTTCTTTATGTAATGACCTGGTAAGGTGGTGAGGAGCATAGGGCCTCACAGCCAATCCAAGTCCAATGGTCTCCTGACTCCCTTGTCAGTGCTCTGCTCAGCCTGTGACAATCGTCTCTAATTGTTGGTCTCAGACACAGCAGCCTATTATGACAAGGCACAGACCTCAAATCGTAGGAAAGTCACGCCACCCTTGGATCCATCAGTGGGTACATTTAACTGTATTTGAGTCTGCCCTCCCCCCAGGCTGGACCAGAGGGTCCTTGGCAACAAGTTTAAGCCTTTCCACCACGGGTTGCCCATTTTATTCTGAACACCAGGCTGGTCAACATCTATGGAGCACTAGGGAGGGGTGTTGGGGTCCCCCAAGCCCATGCTGCATACCCTCCAGGGAAGATCCCCCTGGAGGAGCCAAGTCTGCTGAGGCCAAGGCTAAGATTGGACCCTGCCCTGGTCCAGAAAGACCATGTGCCATCTCCCCAGGCACCCATCCCCCACCAACAGGGTCAGGGCATAGTGAAGAAGGTGCGGGATCCTGGTGTACATCAGTGATATTTAGCCAAGATGAAGTGAATGAGTGAGCTGTGTAGAGGCTTGGGTGAAGAACATTCCAGATAGAGGAAAGAGTCAATAAATGCAAAGCCCCCAAGCCAGAACATGCTCTAGGGTCAATACTGCTAAAGGACCTTCTCCCACCCTGCCCCACCTCTCAGTCCTATGTAGACTTGCCAGGTGGATTGGCAGGGATGACCCAAGGGAAGGCAAGAAAGATGTGACCCTTGGCTATTGACACTCTGTTGCCAAAATTGAGAGGAACTTGAGAAGAGCAGGAAAAAAAGTCAGAAAATAGAAGCTGGGGAGCCCAGGCCTCGGAGCCCACGTGCAGCAGGCCAACCGCCCACGCGCACGAGCTCATTGTGCTAATGGGCCCCTCATCACTTGAGCAGAGGCGCTGGCTTAACCTCTGGCCAGCAGTGTGTTGACAGCAGCTGCCTTTGGGAGATAGATTGTGGATGATTTATTATATTTATTTATTTCTATTTATACTCATAAGTGCTTTCCAAGTGCTCTTTGATGGGCATATATTTATTTTATGACAAGACAACTGTTTGGAACTGAAAGCAGAGCAGGGAGCCTCGAGCTAAAGACTACATCCAGCAGAGTCACAGGTACCCAGTGCTTCATGTGGGTAAGCCACTCCTGTCGGACCCCACAGTGAGACTGGGGACTTCGTGAAGAAAAACCTAAAACTGGAATTTGGAGGACTCTCCCCAGGCCAAGGCCTGCCTCGGGGAGGAAAGCTCACCTTCATATGGAGCTGGAAGCCACAGATTTGGAGGCATCTGCCTCTGGGGCTGGAAGAGGGCAGGCCGCTCCACTGGCCCCCAGCCCTGTGGGATTCAGGTGACCATGGCAGGGATTGCTGGGAGACCCTAGAGAAGATGAGAAATACTGGACAAACAACTTCATGATTTGATTTTAGACAAATTCCTCTCTTGTGACTCATTTTAATACAGCTGCCCCTGGGATGAAGAAGGATTTAAGATTCTCTTCCAGGCACTCCTCCTGCATTTGCTCAGAACCCCGGTGGCCAGCAGCCACCTGGTACAGGGAAGCCTTCAGTTAAGGAAACAAAGGAGCTTGGAACTGAGCTGCAGGACCTGGCACCCTACTCTGGCTCCCACACTTGCCCACAGTCCCGGGGGTGCTGCCTGAGCTGCCCCACTGCCCTGTCCCACACTGCTTTGTCTCGCTGTCCCCCAGCTGACAACCTCCAGCCACTGGCCTTCTCAGACCTCCAGATACACTGGCCACTAGCTCCTGCACACGCCATTCCTGCTGTCTGTAGCACCTTGCCCTGCTCATCCTTCTCCCACCACTCTTCCTCGTCCTGCAGGTCTCATCCTGATTATCCCCACAGGGTTTTCCTCATCCAAGCTTCGTACGCTCTCCTCCAGGGACACCCAGGGTGCCATGCCCTGGAAGCACCTGAATCCTCACGGGGCTGCCCAGGGCCTAGGACACAGTTTGTCAATAAGGGCAGGTGAATGATAGGAGGGGTCTGGCCTGGTCTGAGGGATCACCGATCCTGGCAACTTGAGGCACCTGTCCCCCGAAGTCCCAGGTTGACTTCTAGACGTGGCAGTTGCCAGGGTAGAGAAGCTGGAAGCACACAAGCTCACAGTGGGCTACAGAGACGTGAAAGGAGGGCAGAACCTGCAGAGCTGCCTCAGCAGGACCCACATTATGGCTTCCCCAGCCTGCCAGGGTGGGTGGCGTTGTCCAGCTGCAGACCTCTGGTGATGCAGGACCTTGAGCAGCTCAGAGGAGTCTGTGCCCCACCACAGTCCATGAGGAAAGTTGAGAGACTGGCAAGGACGAGATGTCACGGCCCATCGGACCTGGCCTGACCTAAACTTCAGGTGGCTCTGATGTGGCAGATTCTTAGTCTTCATTTCCAGCAGCATTTCTGAACAGCATTTCCAGCCTCCTATGAACTCCAGCTGTGCACACCAGCTTCCCAGTATCTCAGTACACGTGCCCGCCCCCAGGGAAGCCAGCACTAGGTCATGCAGGGACTCCATCCCCATTCACCCCCACAGCTTCTTCCCCATTCCTATTCTATATCCCCACTTGGTCCATTTGCTAGGACCAGACTCCCTCCTTTTTGGGGGAGCCGGGGGTGAGGGACCCAAAAGGAAGAAAAACCCAGCAACCAGTCCCATCCTCCTAGGGGCAGGAGTGTCTTGGTATAGGGTCAAGGCCACCATGTTCAACACTGCATAGCTGCACAGACTTGAGGACCAGGTTTGCCAACTGGAAGCCCAGAGAACTTCCAAGGATCAATATCCTACCAGGCAAAAAAAATAAATAAAATAAAATGTGTTAGCAGGGCTAGGGGGATGGGAGAGAACCATTCTTGACAGAGCATGGAGACTCCCAGGGAGCAAATAGATTGGATTATATTGAACACAACAATTGATTTTTTTCCTAAACAAACATGCAGAAGGAAATGGTAACGGGCATCTGTTCCTGATGGGAATCAATTGACCCCAAATTGGAAGAAAATCGAGAAACACAAACAAATACAAGAGACTGTGTTTAGAACACCCAGGCTGGTCTAGTGAGAGGGCTGGAGGAAGAGAGGAACAGACCCGCAGACTCGCCCATCATTCTTTTCCCTTCCCACCATCTTCCCTGTTAGTGGCTTTTCAACGAATCTAATAATAAGGGAAAGAGGAGCGACCATTCTTTGAGCCCTTACTCTGTACCAGACCAGTGCAAAGCCCTTTGTGTGAATGTTAGTTACTCCTCAAAACCCAGCACCCTGTCATCCCCACTTCTTAGATGAAGTTACTGAGGCTTCAGGTCATGCAGCCCAGTGGCAGTGAAGTTTGAAATCAAACCCAGTGGTCCCCGGAGCCCATGCTCGCCAGCACTGCTCTCTATTGGGTCTCCAACCCTGAGCTATATTCCCTGATGCCTTGAGCTGGCCTTGAAATTAAGGGGGAAATGACTAAGCCTCAGAAAGTCCATTCCCAGCAGCCTGGACTGGATGGTGGATTGGGCAAAGCCAGAAGCAGGAAAAGCTCCCTCCCCCGGGGAGGTGGGGACGCAGGGCAGGAGGTACTGCACGGCTTGGTGATATCCCTGCAGACCCAGTTTATGAGCTTTGCCCTGTGTGGTGTTCATCCTAGTGGCCCGTCACCAGCAAGATAAACTATGTCGTGTCACAGTGCATCACAGACCTCATTTGCCAAAGCACGGTGCGATTCTGATGCTGTTCAGCAAACACGCCTGTGATAAAAGGCCTAAGAGTAATGGGCTGTGTGCTGCGGGTTTAATTTCATAAAGCTTCCTTTTGTTTCTTGGTCATGGACTTGTGTACACATGTTTGTTTTCAAGTAATCCAGCTCTGGGAGTGTACCTAATTACCTTAAGCAGGGCTTATTAGTCCTGTTAACTAAGACTCCCTAATCTATGAGGCCAAGTATGCAAAAGCAGCCTGTAAGGTAGGATTAAGACAAAAGTGAGCTATTACAAATGGAATCGGGGGCCGGCTTTCCTAAAGCTGCTGTGGGGCTGCCGCTGTAAATTCTGCAGAAAGAATTTTCCCGTTCTGTCTGGCACTCGCTCTCTATAGTAGGCACTCGAGAAATATTCATGGGATGGATAGACAGGCTCCCTCCAGCGTTTGCATCACATGCAGCATTTACTAAATACAAATATTTGTAGTTTGGATGGGTGGACAGACAGACAAGTCCCATCTACTACCGTTGCACGATTTGCTGCACAGTAAACCCCTGTGAGTGGCATGATGGAGACAATGTTCTCTCATCGAAGGACACATCTTGCTGTAACAACCCCGTCTTCTCTTCCAGGCGACATGTGCACCATGGCCGGCTATGCCCGCCTGAAGAATGTCCTTCTGGCCCTCCAGACTCACCAGCAGCCACTCCACGAAGTGGAAAACAGACAGGACCCTGCTTCCCAAAAGCGTCTCCTGGTGGAATCTCTGTTTAAGGACTTGGATGCTGATGGGAATGGCCACCTCAGCAGCTCTGAACTGGCTCAGGTAGGTACAGCGTTCCGTGAAAACCAAGTTATAAAGGAATCCGGTTTTTCGTTCAGCACCTACAGAGAAGAGACACGGAGACCACGGGAGGACAGTGGGTTGCAACTGTGTCTGTCACAGAGTCCCCAGGAGGCCACTCTGCCACCCTCCTGGGAATCTCAGAGTCTGTGATCAACACCTCTGAGAACATCTTACAAACAAAGTTATATTCATTTCTCACCAGCCGCCTTCAGCCACTGTTTACGAACACACTGTGACACCCTGCCTGGCAGCAGGCAAAACGCTCCTGCTGCGGGGCTGGTGGCTGATGTTTTAATTAGGAAACCAAACTTGTCCTCAATATCAAAAGGAAGCAGTGCTTGGTTTCCAGAAAACACCTCTGAAGCTCTATCCTGGAGGGTCCCAAGTCCTCTGCCCGGTGACAACACGATTCCTTGGTGGCCAAATATCAGCAGCCCAAACCCCAGCTTTCTTACTAGCAGGAAGCCCTGAGTCCACCCCAAAGACACTTGTCTGGAAAAGCACTTGCATTGAACCCTGTGACTTGTGTCCCTCCCCAAAGTCATCCCTTGGTCCAGCGACAAGCTGCTGTGAGGGTAGTCAGCATCTGCAGCACAAAAAGCAAAGAAAGACTGACCTCTGACCTCGTTCCCTGGGGCCAGGGTGAGGGTCCTCACGCAGAAAGGCTGTCCTAGGCCCAGGAGTCTGCATTCCTTTTTTTTTTTAATTCTTTTTTTTTATTATTAGTTGTTCAAAACATTACAAAGCTCTTGACATATCATATTTCATACATTTGATTCAAGCAGATTATGAACTCCCATTTTTACCCCGCATACAGATTATAGATTCACATCGGTTCCACATCCACTTTTTTACATACTGCCATACTAGTGTCTGTTGTATTCTGCTGCCTTTCCTATCTTCTACTATCCCCCCTCCCCTCTCCCCTCTCCTCCCATCTTCTCACTCTACCCCCATCTACTGTAATTTATTTCTCTCTCTTGTTTTTTTCCCTTTCCCTTCACAACCTCTTATATGTAATTTTGTATAACAATGAGGGTCTCCTTCCTTTACCCTGCAATTTCCCTTCTCTCTCTCATTCTCTCCCCCCTCTGGACCCTGTTTAATGGTGATCTTCTTCTCATGCTCTTCCTCCCTACTCTGTTCTTAGTTGCTCTCCTTATATCAAAGATGACACTTGTCATTTGTTTTTTAGGGATTGGCTAGCTTCACCTAGCATAATCTGCTCTAGAGCATCCATTTCCCTGCAAATTCCATGATTTTGTCATTTTTTAGTGCAGAGTAATATTCCATTGTGTATAAATGCCACATTTTTTTTATCCATTCATCTATTGAAGGGCATCTAGGTGCATTCCTGCTTCTGCTCTGATGGTTTGCTTCTAAGAGCCGAGGGCCCAGGAGGCCCACAGCCAGGTGCGAAGATAAGCAAGAAAGTGAGGTCAGCATCCTGGTGCCTTGAGTGGATGGGGGCAGCTCTTCCTCAGAGAACTATAGGCCACCAGAGCAGAGATGACAAGGATGCGTCACCATGTTTATGCCAGAGAAATCTTAACCATGGTACAGTGACCTCACCAAGGTAGTGAGGGGGTCACTGTGAAGGACGGAGGAGGGGAGTACTTTGGCTTGGCACTGAGCCAGGCCCTTTGCCTATGGCTAGTAAGCATGAGCAAGTCCCTTGCAATGTAGGACAGTGGCTGAAAGCACGAACTTCAGAGCCAAGCTGAGGTCTGGGGCTGCTTCCAATGTATAGGAGCTGGTGGGTCTCTGGGGATGGCCTCACTGCATTGGGCCTCCATTTCTCATCTGTGAGCCTCAAAGGGTCATCATAGGATTAAAGGAGCTAAGATGTGCTTAGCTTAGTGCCTGGCACGCGGGTGTTCACAACAGACAACAGTGGCCATCACCGTCGTCTTCGTCATTTCCTCCTTGATCTTTCAGCTGTGCTCTGCTATAAGGTAGAGATGCCCGTCATCCCACTTCACAGATATTTTCAGATGAGGAAACTGAGATGCTAACAAATCAAGCAGCTTGCCCTAGTTGCGATCACTGCCTGAACATGACGGAACTCAGGTGCATCCCAGGAATGTTGCTACGCATTCACCTGCCCTCCCCACAGCACCAGGTGTCTCCCACCAGGAGGCTCCATATGGTCCTCTCAAGGTCAGCAGGAAAAGCAAGCACTTGCAAAACCCAAGTGAGAATCAATGACTCAAGCCTGGAGTCGCAGGCTCCTTGCTCTCAGGCCTTCTGTTCCAGCCAGGCCCGAGCCTGATTCCTGGGAATCTCAGCTCACCCACACTTCACCCACAGCACATGCAACCCTGTGCATCCCAAGAGGCCTGCTGCCCATGGTCTCCAGAGAACCAGCAAATCTTCACCTCAGTCAGCACTTGGCCCCTGCTCTGGCTAAGACCCTAAGGGGCAATGCCAGTGTCCCATAGGTGACCTGAGCTGCTCTAGAAAAGCCCAGGTCCTGTTAGTTACAGCTACCTGCAGGAAGAACCACCTGGTGGTTCCCTACAGTACAGGCTGTGCAGGGAGTGACAAGGGCAGGTGACATCGGCTTGCCTTGGACAGAGGCACTTGGCACCCAGCTCCATGCAGCTCCCAGGTAGGTAGCTCCCTGGTAGACAGAACCTCCTTGGGAATGTTGCTCTAATCTAGCAGAGATGTGGCATGAGGCATCTGAAGCCATTAATAAGCATGATAATTTGACTATGATTTCCTCTTTAAAATTTAATATATTTAAAGTCCATTCCATAAATCTGCCAAGCAAAGCCCAGCTAACGTGGGCTTTCCCTTGACGCCGAATCAAAGGCGCAGGGGGAAAAAAACTTGTCGGTCCTATGAAAAGTTAATCAATTTCCAATGCAGAAATAGACAAAGGGAAATTTTCATCTTTGAAAGATTGATCTCAGCCGTTATGGTTGATCTCCCTTTTATCGAATTCTCTCCCTTGCTGGGTAAGGGGTCATTTTTTTAACATTATCACATTAAATTGCCTTTAATATAACAGGGCAAGCTGAGAATGTTAAGCAAAGAGAAAACATCTTTGCCTTCCTCTCCCCTTCAAAATAAAATAAAATCATTTCCTCTGTTCTGAGATTTCCTTCTGATTATTCTCCTGTGCTCCAACTCCAGCTGAGTGGGGAGGCCTGAAACCTCTACTCAAAGCTATCTTTTGGCATGCGGCTGGCCATGCTTAGGGTGGAGGGGTCTGTGTCCTGCAGCCCAGACCATGATCAGAAAAGGAGTCCATGAGGGCTTACCAGTAGAATGCGGCTCGGGCCTGGTCAGTAGAATGTAGCTGCCCCTTTCTGGGGGTGCCACAGCTAGGAGGTGCTCCTCTGGAAGTGGTAGGATTGGGGGTGCAGCAATGAAATACAACCATCAGCTTTGTGCTGGGGGAGCCAGGGGACCTTGTTCCCCACACCAAGGTCAGCTACTCTTTGGTGGGTTCCCAAACCCCTTCTCTTCTCTTTGCCCCAACAATAGCACAAGGAGGTAAGCCAAATGGCCAAAAAGACCTTCCCATCTTGCACTGCTTGGGGGTCTGTCTGCCCAGACAGGGAGAGGACAGACATGAGCTCTAGTACAGACTCTGTCCCAAACACTTTGTGACCTTGGGAAAGTCTCTCTCTCTCTCTCTCTCTCTCTCTCTCTCTCTCTCTCTCTCTCTCTCTTCTCATCTATAAAATGAGATGATCAGACAAGACAAAACCAAAGAGCTTTGGGTGTTTCACAGGCCCATTGAGCTTCCCAAAGCCCCCACTGGGCCTGAGCCACTTTCCAGCCATGTCCTTGACACTGAACTCAATATGGCTCTGACCTTTTACCCTCGTCACCCCACAGCACATGTTGAAGGAACAGGACCTAGAAGGGGACTTTCTGGGGTGCACGCCAAGAGACCTCCTCCGATTTGACGACTACAACAGCGACAGCTCCCTGAGCCTACACGAGTTCTACACAGCCTTCCGTAAGTCAGGCCCCCTATGGGGTCCCACGGGCACAGGGGCTCATGTCTGCAAATGCTCCTGCCTCACCGTGGTGGTGGGCTTGGAGTCTATCCCATTGTCTCCTCAGTGGGCTTCTTTGAGAGGTGGAAGTGTTGAGTTTGTTTTGCAACAAGCCTGAGCTATAAGAAAAGACTAAAGGTGAATGGGTGGGAACAGAGTGGGCTCACCCTGTTCCTTTTGGGTAACGGTTTTTCTCACCGAGTGTGACTGAAGCAGAGCTGTGAGAGGGATTCTGTGACTGTACATGGAGGGAACAGATTTCAGGTCTATCCTTGGGCTGAAGCCTGGCCCTACTAGGGATCAATGCCTGGAGGAAAACCCTGCAGGAGAGCTGGAGGCCTGGCCAAGCAGGGCCAGGAAACAGTCACCACCCAAGGACAATGGAGAGTAAAGGTCCAAGTTGAAGAAAGGCACAGGATCCCTGGAGAAACATGGAAAATAGATGCTCTTGTGGCTGTGGAGGAAGTATCTGGGTAGCCCAAGTACAGGGACCCTGGTGCTTAACACTGTGTGTGGATGGGCTATCTCAAGGACCTATGACTTTGCCCTGAGGTGATCTTCCAAGAGATTACATCATGTTAACTACAAGCAGAGCTGGGATATCCCAGAGCTGTGAGCTGCAAGAGTTATCCCCAGACAGCAAGGAGGGGAAGGGCGGTGCTGGGCCCAAACTGGGAATACAGGGACATTCTTAGCTCCAGAGAGATGAAGAGATGACACCCCTTTGTATTTGAGGGCACTCAGGCTCTATGTAGAGCAGGTCTTGTGAGCACCTTTCATTATGTGCCCTTGGGTGTGACCTGCAGGCTCATTGTGCCTACCTGCAGGCTCTGGCCTCAGGGTCATGGGTGTGGGTCCCCCACCAGGGCACTGAGCCACAGAATCTGGAATCCTCCCTCAGCACTTACCTGGAGTTTCATTTTCAGAAAGGTATTCCTGCTTCACATTAATATTTCTTTGAGCTGTCGTTATTGCAAATATTCTCAAGGCCTGAGAAGGAGTTTGTGCGATTCAATGGTAAGAAGGGCTCTTGTGGCAGATGGAAGAGGTACTTGGATGACATAAGGGAGAGAAACGAGTATGATTCTTCCTGAAGGGAAATGCCCATGTGATTGATGTGGAGGGGAGGGGGACTTTTGCAGTTCACAGCAGCCTTAGTACCAAGGGCCTAAAGTTTGACCCTGAATTGCAGGGCTTTGCTTGATACAATGTGACTAGGCTTGGTCTCCATCTTCCTCCTCTCCGCCCCCTAGTAAAGCTTATTCTGCTTCGATTAGTTCCTATTAAGATGGGAATAACTGGGAGACTTTCTCCTGCTGTGGAAGGTATCTGTTCTGTGGACCAAGGAGCTTATTCTCAAACAGAAGTCTCTAAATTTTAGAATGTTTCCTTAGACCTGGTTTCATAAGAATTGATTGTTAAAATTATCAGAAAATTTTCAAGCAAACTGTTGAATAGTCAATAGCTTCAAATCAGCCATGGTGGGTCTCTCCGCAGAAATTTATACCCCACAGATGCTACCCCAAAACTGGGGGAGGGATGCTTTTGTTTTCTCTGAGAGCCAGTTGCTAAGTAGCCACCTGCCTATCACTAAATGGGCCCTCCCTCCTGTCCTCAGCAATGGCTTCCTGCATTACTTTCTCCATCCACATCCCCTGACTGAGATCCTTGATGATTCTACCCCCAAAAAACACACGCAATAGGTAGTGCAATTAGGGCAGATGACAACAAGAGTGGTTGTCCAAGTCAGAACAGAAGTAGCATGTTTTCTGGGCACAGAAATGCATTTCTAGGCTCAGACTCCTCTGCCAAAAGAGCGGTGAAGGAAAAGGTCACTGTGTAATAGAAGCCGGAGCACCAGCTGGGGACAGTGGCATATACCTGCAATCTCAGCAGCTCGGGAAACTAAGGCAGGAGGATCACAAGTTCCAAGCCAACCTCAGCAATTTAGTGAGGCCCTAAGTAACTTAGCAATACCCTGTCTCAAAATTTTAAAAAGAAGTGGGAGGGGTTGGTGGTTGCTCAGTGGTTAAGCACCCCAGGTTCAATCGGAAGGAAGGAAGGAAGGAAAGAAGGGAGGGAGGGAGGGAGGGAGGAAGGAAGG